TATTAAAAGTAAAAAAAAAATAATCACTTGTACACCATCATGATGGAGAACATATGAAAACACTTTGTTTTGAAGCGAGCCAATAAAATCCCCAGCTGAATGCTACTTATAGGTAATTCGCTATTTTTGACTAACCGTGTAGGCACTGCCAGATTTCAAGTTTTTAGTTTTAGCATAATCATGTCATTAACCTGTTTCATGTTTTGCGGATGTTTTTTGTCGGACATGGCATGGGATCAATTTGCGTTCAAACGGTGAAGCGGCCTCTGCGGGGTTTGTATACATTTTGCTGGCATTTTAAACCTGGTATAGTTTGTAAAAAGGGGAGTTAGTTCAGCTCTCTTGGATCATATCACATCTCACGTTGTCTTTTAGTGAGGTATTTAAATGTTACATCCTACAGCCTCCACCCCAGGCCTGAGATGAGAAATCCAGACCCCAAAAGCCTCTGAGGAGTCCAAAAACGTCTGTAATGATTCATAAATGCACTGCATATTTAGGTCTGTAACTCAATGCTACATCAGTGAAGATGACAAAAAGAAAAATTCATCTCATTCCAAAGGAAAAAGTCTGACGTGGACACAGGTGCGAGCGATATTCACGGATATCCAGTAAACTAAACACACACTTATTTTAAATCTACCTAGTGCGTTTTTTTACATTTCATTGTCATTTGCCAATCACTATGACATTAAACCTTCCGCCTTTAAATTCAGTTGCACTTAATATTATCACTGTAATTACGTCACTTTAACAGCCTCTTCATCAAAAAGGCTTTAAAAAAATCTATAAAGCTCCATACAGTCTAATAAAGCCATCATAATTTATTTTTTGTATGAATAAGAAGCCATAGAACTCAACACTGATTGTAAGTTTATATTTTAGAATAGACAAAGCTTTTAAGCTATCAAATGTTAAAACTTCTCTGAAACAGAGAGATAAGCATGTTATTTTATTCCTGGATACTTGGCCTTTGGATTGTGATGGCCAAATATTTCGGTTTTCATAGCTCTAGGCATTACCATTGATTTTTGTTCTTCTTCCAGAACATTCAAAGGAACACAGAAATGTTCCCCCATTGGCAATAGCTTTGATTGATATCATCTAATCTCATGCACGGACCCTCTATCAAATAAATAAATAAATAAAACAAACATACATTCAACCATCATAAATGCACAATTCTCCTGGGTTGAGCATTTTTATAACTTGTCATGTGCTATGTTTTCGCATAGTGGTTCAACATGTGGATGTAATAGCTGACACGCTTGTGATATCATGTCTGTAGTGCTGGAACAAAATCTGACAGATGAAGTATCTGGACGACATACAGTAAAACACGCAATCGTCTGATAGCAGGGGCCCTGCAGACAGGATGGGGAGAGTACAAAGCACATTCAGCATGCTCTGGACACTTAGACGCAAGCGTGTGACTTCTGACACAACTAAAAAAGTCTTCGCTATACTAATTGGAGCCTGTTCAGTCTTTAGAGTCGTCTGCATTTCGCATCAGATGATGCACTCATATATAGTTTGATCGCATATGAAATTTTCCTTAGCGAATCATGACATTCAACATGGCACTTTTTTCTAACGTTTATATCAGATGCTTACAGTTACCTCAGATGATCGAGTCATCGTGTGATCTCAGAGATGTTTATAATCAGCAACAAAAGAACGCTAAGCCCAAAGACCTAGCAAAAATAATGATACAATTTGCATAAATTAAAATGCATACTGGGTGAATCTCACAAAAACAGCAAAGAAATGTCCAGGTCATTTGTCACCTCAAAAAAAAAAAAAACAATTCTGTATGAAGAACGTTTATACTGAACCTAAGATTTTTTGAGACTTTATTTTCTCCCAAAGCCTTGCTACTTATTGTAATGTGAAATGCAAAATAATATATTACAATGTAAATATTTGAAATATAATGAATAATGACATATTTAAATTGTAAAGGACAATTTTTAAAGTGCACACACCACACCACTGTTCATTTTGTGGTCAGTAAGATTTGTTTTTAATATAATAAATATTATATTATTTATATTATTTAAAATATTTTATTATTACATTAAATAAAATATTATTTAAATATTATTCAGCAAGAGTGCATTAATCAAACATGACAGTAAACACTTTTACAATGATATATATATATATATATATATATATGTATCTTTTCATTCTGAGGTGAAATGTGACCTACAAATTTCTTCATGAGATTTCCCTTACTGCACATACCAGAGAAATCAAAGAACATAAAACAAGAAAAACAGGCCTCGAAGGGCCTAAAGGGCTTTGGTGTGACATCACTGACCTACTACAGGTGCAAAGCTCATTTCAAGCAGAATTCATAATGAGCTCCAGAGCTGAACAGTCATTCCTGTCCCATTAGACCCTGCTTCATATCCAGGCTGGTGCTGTGAGCCGTCTCTGACCACATAGTCGACAGATTATATTAGCCTGTTTGTGGCACTAAACATTTAGCATGAAGCATTTCTGTAGTCGTAATGTGGTTGTGTTCCAAAGTAAAAAATAAAATAAGTGTACAGTATATACGTCTCTCGTGTCTGGCTGTGTTGCTGTTTCAGGTTGGTCTGAGAGGGCAGTATTTGGCAGTGAGTTGATGAGTCGTGTCAATTTTACAGTAGAGTTTGTAACTGCATTAGTTGTATTGTTTTGGGTTGACTAACAAACAATCTTAGGTCATATAGTCGAAGTGTGGTTATGTTGTTCAGTTCAGTCAGTAGTTGTTGTTTCTAGTCTGGAGATTTGCTCTGGTCAGGACAAATAGGTTCTGGTTCCAGTAAGCAGCCAGAGTAGAAGGAGCTGAAGACCCAACATCGGCCAGAGAGACGGACTCAAACTGCAGCCACCACCACAGTCAGTCGCATCCTCCTGCGGTCAATACAGAGACGTTAGTGACTTCTACCTCACATAAACACAAGTTCATAATATAGTCAGGTCATTTCAGTTTAGACAAAGCAGTTTTCCAACTCATTTTTGAAACATCACATCTGGTTTGTTTCTGGTTCAAGGTGGTCTATCTGCTTTAACCAGTGTTGTATTGTTAACTAAAACTAAAACTGAAATAAGGCTGAAATAAAATAAAATATAAATACTAAAAGGAAAACCTCTAACATTTCTAGGTTGGACCAGTATTATTTTACTATCATTGAGATTTTATTAAAGGTCTATATTAAAGTTGTTTTTCTTTTAGTTCAAAACTTTTTCATTTTTTTTATATATATTCATTTAAGTTTTAGTTATTTTAGTACATCAAGTTAAACTACATGGAAAATATTAAATATATATAAGTAGCTGAAGTAGCATTTTTTATTTTATTTTATTTCAGTAAATGTTTATTGTATTACAAATACAAATATATATATATATATATATAGAGAGAGAGAGAGAGAGAGAGAGAGAGAGATGCAGATATGGTATAATATAGATATATAGATATAGTTTAGTTTTAGTTTACTATAATAACCTTAACATGGACCAGCTTGAAACCAAGTAAAACCATCAGAAACTGGATTTAGTTGGATTTTCCAGCAAAAAGAAGATCCATAAAGGATGCAACTCAATCAATAAACAGTCTGATATACCTGTATGTGAAATGAAAAATGAATATCAAAACATGTTTTGGCTGAACTGAAAAGGAATGAATCAAATCAATGACACGCATGCATAAACTCTTGCTGTAGAAATAATGCATGACCGATAATGACTGATGGCCTATGTTCTGGTCTTCTGAAACACGACTTGTGTGCTAGAGTATGTGTGTTGGAAGGCTTGCCAATGAAAGTCCTGGGATGCCCCAGGTTTGAAAGGCATAGGGGCGTATCATCAATGTTGCTGTCAAAAGGACGGAAACACATCTGGAGTTTCCTATGTTTATTCCACAGAAAATCTCTCCGGGAACTAGCTGAAAATGCACTTCCTACTTTCACAGCAGGAGGAAAGAAGTGGCGTCCTGCCTCTAGGTCCATACTGAGGCACTGAGTAAACAATATAGGCCATTTTAACCTACGTGTAGCCCCTTTTATGATATGATAACCAGATATTACTGAAAGTCCAGCAGGCTACAATTAATTCTCAATTGGAGTTGTAAACAAGTCAAATAAATAGTTTGAAATATAAATGGCAGCAAAACAATAAGATGAAACTGACCATCAAACACAAAGCAGAAACAGCAGCAAAATGAAGGACAGGTAATTGGTCAAAGAAGAAGAGCCACTGATTTGACACAAAGGCTCATTCTAGCAGTGACAGGCATTATGAGCAACCAATGAGCATTCAACGTGCAAACAGAAAGGAAATTAATGTTAGCTTAATAAAGAAAAAGAAGAAGAAAAACAAGCATTGAATGATGAAGATGCATTTTGAGCATTGCCCATTTTGGTTATTACTTACATCTGCGTTGTTGTCAAAGCAGACGTCCGGTCCTTTCCTGTACCGAGGGTTCTGGGCCAGCACACATGGATCAGGACCAGTAGCTGAAAGAAATCGATAAGGACAATAGCCAAAACTTCAAAAAAAAAAAAAAAGAAGAGCTGGAAAAACTTAGATTCTTGAGAACTAATTAATTCAAAAATGGTTCCTCTGTTTGGGACCAATTTTTTGGGTACTTAGACATAGTAACCACTCAGTCGACCTCTAATGTCTCTTCTGGGACCTAAAATATGAAGCACTTCTATGGACTTTAGTGAACTGGGAATTATTTATTATTGTATGTTGATAAATTATTGTTTGTTTATAGTCTTATAGTCTGAAAACCTTATGCAAAAAAGTATGCAAAAAAGTTATAAGAAGATAAAGTGTAATTCTTTATGCGTTTGATGCCTTTATCCAAAGCAACTTACACTACAGTTCAAAAGTTTGGATTTATTTATTGATTTAAAACTACAGAATGAATGAATGAATGAATGAATGAATGAATGAATGAATGAATCAATCAATCAATCAATCAAAAAAAAAAGGGATAGTTCACCCAAAAATGAAAATTACCCCATGATTTACTCACCATTAAGTCATCCTAGGTGTACATGACTTTCTTCTTTCAGACGAATACAATCAGAGTCATATTAAAAAAATTCCTGGCTCTTCCAAACTATATCATTGCAGTGAATGGGGGTCAAGATTTTGAAGACCAAAAAAGTGCATCCATCTATCATAAAAATTACTCTACATGGCCTTCTGAAACGATGCGTTTGTGTAAGTAAAATATCCCTATTAAAACGTTATAAACCGCAATCTCTAGCTTCCGCTAACTGTCATATGCACATTCACGAGAGAGTGGCGATCCAGAGGATGACGTAGGCGTAGCCTAAGCTCCGGTGAGAAGTGACAAATGCGGAAGTGCAGAGAGCAAAACAAAACACGGGTCACAAAAGTCCAAAACAAGGATTTGTAAAGAAAAATGTTGGAGGATGTCGATATAAGCCAAGGGGAGACTGGTTTTCCTGTGCTGGAAACAAAACTTGGTTCTCGTGAGTCTAGCATATTCTCACCGGAGCTTGAGTCCTACATCATCCACTGGAACGCCACTTTCTCATGAATGCGCGTACGACAGTTAGCGGAAGCTAGTTTTAAATATGGATATTTTTCTTACACAAACGCATCACTTTGCTTCAGAAGGCCTTTATTAACCAACCCCGGAGCCATGTAGAGTACTTTTATAATGGATGGATGTACTTTTTTGGGCTTCAAAATCTCAACCCCATTCATTGCCATTATAAAGCTTGGAAGAGCCAGGACATTTTTTAATATAACTTAGATTGTTTTCGTCTGAAAGAATAAAGTCATATACACCCAGGATGGATTGAGGGTGAGTAAATCATGAGGTAATTTTCATTTCTGGGTGAACTATCCCTTTAAGAATCAAAGCCATGACTCTGTTGTTTCTAGCACCATGCTCTACAGTTTGAACACTACAAGATGACACTGTAAGAAACAACAAGTGAATCATTTGAAGGATACAGGGCTGTTCGGCTTGTCTCAGCGGTTTGGGATCGCAGGAGAGGCAGGAACTCTTTGCGTCAGAGATCAAAAATACCAAATTCGTGTTTGGGAGCTTCTCCGCCCGGTACATTCTGGAAAAAAAGACAGGAAAACAGCAAAGTCATTAAGACAAATACAGTTCTCACAGGAACTGCTTATATCATAAGGCAGGTATCATGGTTTATGCAACTCTAAACTAAGCAGACATAAGCCTCAGCGAGACCGCCCATGTATGACATTTTACGGAAGGAGCAGTAAACATAAGTAAGTATAAACGGCTGCCGACTCAAAACATTGTGTGTAAGTCAGCATAAGCTCTTTGTCAGGAATCAATTATACACGTCTTACATATCCAAAACCGTCCCAACATTTGTTGATGTCTTTAGTAAGTGTAACAGGAGATGAGTATATTATATTGGAAATCTGCGTCGTTTGGCAGCTTGTTATGTACTGTCATCGCCGAACGAGTTTCAGCCATGAGTTTTCTTTATAGTGTTCTCTTGTTCTCTTTTACAGCTCTCCTCCCTCTCTTTAAAACAGAGTGACACGGGTTTATGCACCGGCCTGTGTGCATGTAAATGTATATATGGGGATGTGTGCGTGAAAGTTCTTTGTTACACATCACCTGCTCTCTCTGTAATCACAGGCTGTTTACCGCTATCCAGCATGCTCGGCGGTGCATAACGAACCTCAGATCATAGCGGCCATCAGGGTCACACTCACACATATGCACACACACATGGAGGGCTTGATGATCACAGAGAAGCATGGAGTCCTAAAGTTCAGTGGCTCACATCTGTCTGCCCTCTGAGGAATGCTTTATTCATGAGAGCAGGAGAGGTTATAAGAGCACAGAAGAGTGCTTCAGGTGGGTTTATGTGGTCTCCATGAAAAACATCCTGTGAGAAACTATAGTGATGTTCCAAAACCTAGTGAGCTGCATACTTGGACATCATTTTAAAAGGTTAGTTCACACAAAAATGAACATTCCGTCGTCATTTACTCAAACTCATGTCACTCCAAATGTGTATTAGAAACGCTGGACCTCACTGACTTTTATTGTATGGACAGAAAAGACCTTGTTCAAAATATCTTCTTTTGTCTTTCACAAAAGAATTATAGCAATGCAAGCAATTTTCTGACCCAGAAATAGTTGCAGCTTTGTGACTGCAACATAAAAGTTGCAATGAGTTGTTGGTGGATTTATTAAATATGTTTAACACATTTACTGAATTTGACATAATAATTGTTTCATTATGTAACTTATCCATAAATCAAATCAAGAATATACACTACCATTCAAAAGTTTTTTTTAATACTTTTATTCAACAAGGATGCACTAATTTGAACAGTGACAATAAAACATTTATTATGTCACAAATGGTTCTATTTCAAATAAATGCTGTTCACATTTAAATATATTAAAATACTGTAGTTATTTTAAACTAAAAATATTTTAGTTCTTTTAAATATATTTTAATATTTAAGCTATTTTAAATTGTAATAATATTTTCAAAATATTCCTGTTTTTACTGTATTTTTGATCAAAGTAATGTAGACTTGGTCACTTTGAAAGACACTTGGAAAAAACAAAAACAAAACCAAACAAAAACAAATTAACAACCCTAAATTTTCGAACGGTAGTATGTTTAACAAAAAAAATAAAACATACAATGTACTCTTTATATGGTGGAATATCTTTAGAATTGAAGCACAACAAAATTAAATATTGCAAAATATTAATTCATTAATTATTACAAATATTATTTCAGTGTTTATGTTCTTTTTTATGCAGAAACTGTTTTATTCTGTAGGAAAAATTTAAATACACATTATTCTAATTATCAATCCAGTGAATGAACTTAACACTTATTTTCTTTCTTTAAAAAGGAATCATGAATTATTGACATTGAATTATTGAATCTATTGACACTTCTTGCAGTTTATCAGTCGGCTGATGCCGTTTATTTGTTGCCTAAGGTCTTAATTCAGTATCAATACCATGGGACCAGCGGATGGTACTGTACTGAAGCCAAAATTTCAGTATTGATTCAGCCCTAGTGTTTGTAGGCAGTAGACAGCAAGGCAGCTCACTAGGTTTCAAAACAGAGGCATGATATAACCTCTGAGGGGAGTGTGTTGTCCAAAAAGCTTTATATCTGTAGGGCTGAAAGAAGACAAGCAGACATTAGATAACTAATGCAAAAATCGAAATAAATATGAAGTCTAATTTGCTGTAGTCTCCTTGATGTTCTGTTTAAGCCATTCTTTCGCTGGCAATTCCTGCAGTCCTCTCATCACTACATGCGTTCCTTTAGCCTGAGCTGGTGTTGATGTCTCAGAGAGCAAGATTGAATTACATATGCCAAAGCTCAGGTCTCGAGCTCCTGAGATCTCACAAATGGATTTCTCTTTATGGCTCTTGTTAAACTTTACATGTCTAAAGTAGTTAACATGGAAGAAAAACTATCATACGCAGAGTCACACGTGGGGCTTGTAAAAGAGGCGTAGAGTTTCTGTCGGGCCGAGCGCCCCCACCCACCCCAACACGTTTCGCTTTAGCGGTGTTACATTAAACAGCACGGCCGGCTGGACGTTGGATGGATCCGGGGAACGAGGGAGCGGGCAGAGGGGACGGAAAGAAAAAGAGAAGGAAAGCTGAGCTGCTCGATCCTTGGAGAGATGACTTACCGGGATGAGCAATTATCCAGGAAGAGACAGAAAGACAGTGCTGACATCATCTGCACATGCTCACACGCACTCCCACACACACGGACGGAGGGAATGCGGATGGATTTATGCGCATACAAACATAAAAACAGTCCTCACCTGGAGCAGTTTCCACAGTCCATAGCTCCAGAGAAAGATTTGTTCTCATTCTCAAAGAAATACTGCGTCTGTTCGGTGATACAGCTCTCTTTGGAGAATGCATCCGAGAGGTCATCCTCCGAGTAAGCTGAAAACACACCAGCAACACACTGTATATGTCAAAACACACACGCAAATCAACAGCCTATATATCAAGCACACTCACAAAATGCATTTTTGCTGCTTGTTCAATTGATGCAAATTACGACATCAATTCTTGAACATTTTGACAACTTAACAGCATTGCATGAAATAAATTTTGCTTCATTTAAAATATAAAGTTCACTTAGTCAATGCATTTAAACTACATAAACAATTCCATCCATGTAGTTTGTTTATATACTGTATATGACAAAAAAGTATGTATGATATTATTATGAATATTAATATTGTATAAAAGGATATGTACAAATAAAAATGAAATAATAACAACAATAATTTCTAAATAATTGTAAATAATATATATACATTGCATAAAGGAAAAAAATCATTACACATACATGTATAATATGTATGTTTTTAAAGGGATACAATATATTATGCGTGTATATATATATATATATATATATATATAATTTTAAAAGGAAAAAAATCATTATACATATACAATAAAAAAACATTACATTACAGCACTACAATAAAATTGTTCAGTTTTTTTGTTTTTGTTTTGGTGGACAGGGTTTACTTTTAATCATGTAGAATTAAAAAGTTAAATGTTTCTTGATTTAATTTTTTAAAATGTAAAAGAATTAAAAGTTTCTTGATTTAAAAAATCCAAAGTTCCTTGAATGCAAGAAGAGCCAACATTTCTGGGTTTTGTTTCTGAAACATACCTGTTCCCACTACATTTGGGAGGGTCAGACTGAGAAGTAGCTGCTGCAGAACTGACCTAAAAGGAAGAAACAAATGAGAACATCCACCTCAAAGTGCAATCCTTCACCCGTTTATTTCTCAGCGAGTGGTGTCCGTTTTTTCTTACCAGACCGCAGTGGAGGCCCACCAGCCTACAGTCAGCATATCTGCGATTGTTGGCTGTCAAAAAACAAACACACAAATATAGATGTATTAACACACTCAATTCAAAATTTGGACTTTGTTTCCTCATTTCAGAAATCCACCACAAACCCTGCAGTACATTGATGGTTTTCTGAAGAAGCTAACAATAAAAAGTTCTTGTCAACCCTTTATTTTTAGTAGGACCAATTCAACTTTACCACGTATATAGAGCGGGGTCCGGCAGCAGCTTTAGTTTCTTTCTCCGGGTCGCAGACGGATTGGTAGTCGTAGGTTTTATTAAAGGAGAACAGTGAGGTGTTGACCAGAGTGATCATCAGAACAGGGTCCACTTCACCAAAGAACTGACCTATCTGAAACATCAGAGTGAAAATACGAAAACTACTTCTTTACGTGGCTGTTAGCACACAGCATTAGCCTTGTAAATATATTCTACCTGTGTGATATATTCATCTTGATTGGACATGAGCAGAAAGCCGCCATCATCCAGAATCACGCAGTCCACTTGCTGAGGAGTAAAACCAGCCATTCATCAGAAACCGAGAGTGAAAGCAGCTTTAGATAAGTGGCTACAGAGGTCAGAGCAGCATGAAGCAGTCAGCACCCTACCTTATCATTTCTGAGGCACCCGCAGATCTCATCCTTGCACTGCGGAGAGGAAATTATGTGAGGAGAGAAGTGAGAATTCATGAAACAAGCCTTTTACAACGCTTATTAGAGCGAGTCAATTCATCTCCGCTCTCAGACGGCAATATCGGCCCATCTAGAGAGGCTGGGTTTGGGACTAAACAGCTTCCACATGTGCCGATAAGGAAATGGGGGTCATTTCTGCTTACATTTTTCTTGGTGGTAGCGTTTATGAAGCTGTTCATCCAGGCCGATACGTTGAGTTTGACTCCCACCACTGTATGATAACATAAAACACACACTGTCACTGTTGAACACACTGTTGAAATCTTACTCACGTGAGGACAAAAAATATGATGATAAAATATTCAGATGATGAGAGAAAGTAACGTCAGGGTCAGACCCTGATGAGCACAAAGCTCTGAAATTAATTAATGTAGAGAATGACCAAATGATTAATCATAACCTTTGTTAGTCATCAGTGATGAATCATTAAAACACAAACAAAATTACTTACGCAAAAACTAACCAATTTAGTTAAAAACCAAATACCAGTGACATTACAGGGTTGTTTTATTTTATTTTATTTTATTTTATAAAGATAAACCATTTTACTTTACCACTTTAGAAATTACTTTACTACTGGCTGGATCCTTGATAATTCACTATTAACAGGTCTATTAAAACAAAACAGTTGTAACATTCATTACATAGACTATATATTTAATAGAAAGTTTCACTACCATTTAAAAGTTCAGGGTCTGTAAAAAAAAAAATTCCTTTATGCTCACCAAGGCTGCATTTATTTGATCAAAAATCTAAATTCAAACAGTAATATTGTGAATTTTATTACAATTTTAAATACGTATTTTATTTCTATTTGAATATATCATAAAATTTAATTTATTCTTATTTGTCTTCAGTGTCACAAGATCTTTCAAAAATCATTCTAATATGCTGATTTGAGGCTCAATAAACTTATTATCAGTGTTTAAAACTGTGATTTGTGGAAACTGATAAACATTTTTTTAGAAAAGAAGTTTAAAAGTACAACTTTTATTTGAAATAGAAATATTTTGTAACATTATAAAATGCCTTTACTGTCACGTCTGACCGATTTAATGCATCCTTGATGAATGAAAGTATTAATAAAAATAAAAAAATCATACTGACCCCAAACTTTTGAACAGTAATGTAGCTGAACGTTTTAAGAGCTCACCAGCAGGTTTGAGTTTTGCTCCATTAATGTCCAAGTCCACTGCTTTACTGACAAGGATACCGGACTCATAACCAGACTCTCTGCTCTCTGTTTCAAGGGAAAAGATGACACAAATGATTGGCCAGATTGGCCCTCTATGCTTTATTTCAACTAATCCAAACAGGCAAGGTTTTAGTATTCAAATGCCATTCTTCTGGTAACACCTGCCAAAGGTAGATATGTTACATCTGAAATCAAAATGTTTGAGAGATCTATAAGGGCTTCAGTCTGCTTTCACCATTAGCTTAAACGGTAAAACCTCCCATAAACACAAGGACCAGGCGTTCCCCTGGGGTTGCATTTTGGCACATGGGTGCTTCTAGTCCGTCTGTGTATTAGTCCTGCAGACCACACGTGCGTGAATGTGAGGTAGTCTCATTGAATGGTAATCCCCCAGTAATATAAGCTTACGCGACCTTGGCAGGAGATCTGTAGGTACGCATTTCAAGTAGATGAACAGCTGTTTTAGTAAAACAGTGTGCCAAAGTGAGCGCATGTCCATCCAAATGTTATAGAGGGGATGTGTACTGTAAGAGTGTGTGTTTCTTACTGTTGACGTATGGGGCGGTGAAGATGTATATGTCATTGTCCAAACTCCTTTTGTAAAAACTTGAGTCATAGGTCTCAGAGTTTTCACCCCATTCTTCCCCAGCACTGAAAAAGATTAGAAAAAAGCGAGAGAAAGACTTAAATTAAAAGGCATTTCAAACAAAATGATGAAAAATAGCAACCATTGGGCTAGGCGGGGCTGAAGCCCCGGGGCCCAGACAAGGAGGGGGCCCGTGATTGGCTGTGGAGTAGATTGACTGGTCATCGGTAGTGCCAATTGCCAAAGCCCCGCCCCTCACATATTAGCGCTATCATTTAGTGGAGCTTTTCCATATATTCCATGCATTACCTTTAGAGATTAAAACGTAACGTTTGAATTTGGTTTACCAATCAAATGCATTTATTCTATATTTTTACTTTTGAACGACCCGTGCACCACGTATCAATCAGGTGATCGCTGCAATGTCTGCATTCACCTCTTTTCACTTCATTCTGGCACAATCTGGAAATGGTCATGTAAAGAACAGTCTTCGATAAGTAAAAATGTAAACTATCGCATAAACACATTTCATTACACCAAATACACAAAATAATGTTCTTTTTAGCAGCATCATATGACCCCTTTAAGCAGTGGGGCAGAATTCATTTTGGCAAATGCACGCGTTGCGGTTTCAGCCTGATTCGCGTGGTGCGCATCTGCTCGTACAGCGCCATTCTAAACTTGAGTTATTTTTCGCACCTTGTGCTTAAATGTTCAAATGCACAGTTATGTGTCAAAATGGC